CTCGCAGGCCTGCTGTCGCTCCATTCCCCCACCCCACCCCGGGTGCTCCTCCCAAGGCTCTCTACCCAGATTCCCTCGTTCTGAGACGCCAGCCCTATTGGATCAGGGTCTCCCCCAAAGACCTCCTCAAGCGCCTCGCTCCTGGTGATGGTCGTCTTCTGAGCTGGTGGAACGACTCCAGCACACAGAGAGCAGACGCGAGTCGGCCCACAGTGAGCACAGCCAAGGTGGAGCGCGGGCTTTCATCTGCGGGCCGTGACTCTAAAGGGTTCTGGAGAAGACCAGCCACCACAGAAGGGAGGGACAGACTCCAGAGGGAGGAAGTGGCCAGGCAGGCGCCGGTCGTTGGAGATGTCACTGCAGAGCCCGGGGCTCCAGAGCAGGTGTATGGGGGCTGGGGACAGCCCACCCCACTCCTCCCCATCCTAGGCTGTAGGAAAACAGCGACCCCATAACTCAGCGCCCGCCTGCCCTTCCTTGTCATTTTAATTAAAGTCAGGACTCCCTTGGTTTAGACAGTTGCCATTATTAGCACTAAATCAAGCTCCCATCTTAAAGTGAAGGCCCCCCCCCCCCCCGGGGGGGGGGAGCAAAGCTCGGCAGGATCCAGGTTGGGGAATCTGGAAAGGGCGGGGCGTGGAGCCGCACCCTGTCCCAGGGCATGGCTTCTCGCTCTCTCAGCTCCATCTTCACCGCTGACACACGTCCCAGGATCAGAGCCAGCTGTGGGGTTGGGGCCAGGCGGAGGCCCATGTCAGGAGGCCAAGTACCCGAGGGACAGACGCACTATTCCCGAAAGCCTTCCTCTCAAGGTCTGTGCTCTGCGGGGACAAGAGGGACCAAGGCTCGGGGAGCAGGCAGCTCTCCTGGGTGCAGGAGGCTATGGAATAACCAAGACATGGTTTTTGGGGAAAGGGTCATGGACCTTCCTGGGATCCTTTGATGTTGGTGCCTCGGCACCAGCCCCTCATGAATAGGTGACAAAATAAATGCTCTGCAGGTGGCTTTTCCAGAGGTCCTCAGGCCTGGACAGAGTGCTCCTTCCTGGAGGGGTTTGTGCCTATAGGAAACATTAATAATAAAGTCAGACTCACAGAGGAGAAAGCAGCTGACACCAAAGAGGCCACCATCCGCCACCACCCGCCACCATCCGCCACCATGGGCGTGCACCTGACTGACGGTAGCAGAGGGATCCCCACCTGTGACCTCCTCCAGCCACCACCACGGAGGCCAGCCTTCCAGAGGGACCTCTATGAACCCAGACCCACAGGCCCAGAGGGGCCAGGAACACAGCAAGGGCCAGGAAAAGGCCCCGTGGAGAAGAAGTGGACTCTGGAAGGCCTGGTGGGGCTGAGAGCAGGAGGACAGCCTTGCTCTCTGTCCCCGTGACCGTGCCCTGGCCGCAGGGAGGGGCTGGGAGCCTGGCTGCTGAATCAACTACCTGTGGCCGCACAGAGAACAATGACTGGCTTCTCCTCCCTTCTTTACAAGGGCAACAGGATAGGCGGGCTGGAGAGGTGACCTGGGCACCTTGTCCCGGCACTGGTGTGCACTTGTCCCTTGTCCTCTCCAGCTTCCCTGCTCTTCCACGAGGGCCTTTCTGCCAGCTCTTTACCCCCTGCACAGCCTGGGCGCCCCTCACTCGCCCGCGGGACCTGCAGACAGTCTCACTGGCGTTAGGTGCACCGAGCGTGCGTGGCACTGATCTGGGACTGTCGTCACTCCTGTGTAAGGTGGGGAGGGGCTCAGGTGGGTGGTCGGAGCTCCTCTGGGTTCACAGCGGTGAGTGAACTCTCTGGCCCCCGGGGGGAGGGCAGGAAGATGCGTCAGGCGGGGAGCCAGCGAGCGGAACCCACTCAGGTTGGCCCGACAGGCAGCAGCGGGCACACGCCAGCCCCCAGGGGACAGAGGAACAAGGCCACCTGCAGATGCAGCGTGAAGAGCCAGGACTCCTGCCTGCCAGCGGTCACCTGCTCCTCTCCAGGGACCCCACTCTCAGGGGCCCACGGCCCCCCCTGGCTGGGTCCTCTTGGCGTGTCTCCAGTGCAGCATGTGTGGCCCTGCAGCCCAGGGAGCCCACAGGGCCTCACCCGCTGCTCCTCACAGTGCACACCAGTCTTGCCCGCCCTCCGTCTCCTGCTGGCCTGTTCCTAAGAATACAGGGGACAGCATCTCATTTGTCCTGCTTGGAGCAGATGCTACCCCAGGTGTAATCAGCAAAGCCAGAAGGCCCTGCCTGGGACGAGGTGGACTCAGCAAGGAGCCACGGGCAGGGGGTGTGGGCAGGGGGTGTTGGCAGGCTTCCTCCTGCTCCCACCCCAGGACCCTTAACTAGGGCCTCGTCCACCTCTGTGAAGGTCTCTGAAAGGCTAAAAATTTAAGGCGGGTCGCTCAGGAGAACGTGCTCTGATAACTCTGCTCCGACCCAAAAGGGGACCTGGGACATGGCCAGCACCATGAAGTGCTGATCTTTAGATCCTCTTTTCTTTTTAATATCTTTATTTTTAAAATTTATTTTTTTGTCTTGCTGAGGATCGAACCCAGGGCCTCGCCTGTGCTAGGTGAGCACTCCACCGCTGAGCCAGTACCCCAGCCCCTCTTTAGATCATCTTTATTTGCTGAATTTAATTCACTGACACACAGAGCATCTACTCTGGTAGGTTGTGATCACTGTACGGCCCTGGGCAGCCCACCACTGTCTTTGGCCATGTGAACAGAGATGCAGCTATATGGGGTTCACAGAGAGGGGCTGCTGGACCTTGGAAGGACAAATTTCAGCCACGCCAGGCTGCTCACTAAGTGCACTGTTCAGTTGACCCCTCGGGAGGACTGGCAGGCAGGGACCGTCACCCCAGATCAGATCGAGCACTGGCAGCTGCTTTTCTTCTCATGGGCACAAAGTTGGAGCAACAGTGGCTGGATTTGAACCCAGGCCCTGCTGGCTCAGAGGGCAGAACTTCACCACCCCTGCATCCCCTGGGCTGAATACCTTTCCAGCCCTTCTGGGTTGGACAGTGCGTTCCTCTATCTGCTCTGTGCACAGGTCAGCCCTGGGGCCACAGGGCCACTAGCTGCTCAGCTGTGGATCTGTGGTCTCTCCATGGTCCAGCTACTCAGGAGGCCCTGAGGCTGAGGGCCACCTGGGTTCAGTTCTCATTCTAGGGGTCCCTCTTCCTGCAGTCCACATGTCCAGGACTCTGGCTGGAGCTCAGATTGGCCTCAGGGGCCTGCAGTGCTAAGCTGCCCTCCAGGCTAACACAGGGCTGCCTTGAGGACAGTCCTGGACAACTGAAGGGCGCCACCGTGAAGCCGCCACACACAGCACAGCGCAGGGTGTAAAGGGGGCTCAAGTCTCCAACAGGCAGGCACCAGAAGCCCCCACCGGGAGCTGTCAACGGTGCCACTCGGGCCCAGGTCTGCCTTGTGTGGAGGTGGGGCCGAGGGTCCCAACACCCGCTGCAGGGTGGCCTGCAGAGCCCTGGACACTCACCGCCTTCTTCACCTGAATTTCAAGCACACACTGGGTCCCCTGCTATGTGGCAGGTGGGCCACTGAGGACGGAGTGGCCTCGTCCTCTTCTTCACTCAGATTTGTGTGGACAAGGCCGAGGGCAGGGCCCCACTGTGGACAGGCAGAGCCACATGCTCTCCTTTCCCAGGGCAGAAACTGGGGAGAGGCCCTGGGAGGTGGGGCGGGAGCGAGCGGGCCTCCCGGGGCTCACCCGCTTTGCCCACAGGCCAGCCCAGGCTGCCCGAGGTGAAGAACAACCCTCCTTTGGTGTCCCCCGGGGACTGGTTCCAAGACCCTGTGGATACCCAAATCCGAGGATGCTCAAATCCCTCACGTAAAGTGGCGTGGGGCTCATTTCACAACGAATCTCCCGTGGACTCGGAATCCCCCCACCGCTCAGCATCGGTGCATCCGTGTAACAGTTGCGGTGCTGCATTGTGAGGGGATGAGGTAGGAAGGGCCTGTAGCATTCGACACAGGTGCAAATGTCTTTTCCATTTTCACTTTTGCAGCGCTGGGGATGAACCCGGGGCCTCACACACGCCGGCACACGCTCTACCACTGAGCTGCACCCCACACACAATTTTCCAAATATTTTTGGCCCGTGGTTGGTTGACTCTGGAGGAGAGAAACCCAGAGGACCCACTGAGGTTCTGAGTTACCTGTCCCTTCTCAAGCATTGGGCCTGCCCACCTGTCCTGGGGTGACATGAAGTTAACCCCTTCCTTCCTGGAGTAAGACTGTGGCTAGGCGGCTTGGGCCTACGGGAGAGGGTCCCCATCCCTGCCCCATGCTGACCTCAGAACCCAGGCTCCTGGGAACCCACACCCCAGGCAGAGGCTCCACTGTGGCAGCTGGCCACCAGCCCAGCTCCTGATGGTCCCCTGGGTCCCCTACTCCAAGGCCTGAGAGAGAGGAAGCCATTCAGCCTGCAGGTGGGGCTGGTGGTCCCCATCCCCAGGGACCCTGGCTGCCATTGCCAGGGACAAGGTTGCACTGAAAAGCCACTTCGGGCTGGGAGGGGGAGGGGGCATGGAGGGGATGGAAGAGTGGCAAGAGGGTGGGTCACGGGTGGCTTCCTGGGCCCACAGCCCTCCTGGGCTAGACAGCAGAGCTGGGCCCAGAAACCTGCACATTTCCAGAGCTCCCAGGGATCCTCACCCACACCCACACCAGGATGTGAGTCCCCGGCCAACCCAGTCCCCTTTGGCAGGGGGACCCTGAATTCCCTGCCCGGGTTTGGTGGCTGCGGTGTCTGGTGAGAGGGCGTCATCCTCCATGTCTCTGCCCAACCCTTCTCCAGATAGAAGAAGCAAAAGCCCTGTGGTTAGAGAAGAGGGTCGCCTGCTCGGCCGTCTCCATGTGCAGAGTGAGACCCAGAGGACGGGGCTGGGGCAGCAGAGGGCGGGATCCACGGGTGCACACGTGCACACGGCCACTGAAGCTGCTCCTCCCACCGGGGGCTCCCAGGAGGCTTGCTGCCACCCTGGCCTGTTTCCTGTACCTGCCTCTCTCTTCCCAGCCCCAGATTCCAGAGGCAGCTGTCACCAGCAGGGAACCCAGGACATCCTGGGACTCAGCTGATTGGCCTCTTGATGAGGATGCCCAAGGGCAGCAACCGCCCTGGGATCACCACAGGTGCAAGCGAAGCCCCTCCTCCCACCACGTCCTTAACCCCCTAACACCCGCAAGCTCACAGTCCCCGTCACAGATGAAGAGACTGCAGCTCAGGGAGGCCACAGGACCTGCCAGTAGGTGTTTTCACTACCACAAAAGTGCCCCAAGAAACATGGGGGACGCCAGTTAGTCACCCAAGGGCACAGCCAGAGGCTGGGAAACACCCGGGATGGCCCGAGGAGGAGGAGAAGCCCTGGGAGTGTTCCCTGGGTGTGTGCCGGGGCAGAGTGCCATAAACCCGGCAGCTCACACGCAGCAGAGTCCTCCCAGGGTGCTGGGCCTGAAGACGGAGACAGACGTCAGGCGGTGTGCTCCAGGCCTCTCCCTCCGCTGCTGCGGGTGACCCCGACTCCACGCCACGCCACTCCCATGCCACCTTCATTGTCATGCGGCCACCTTCTCCCTGCATCTGCCTCTTATCAGGACACCAGTCCCATGGGACTGGGGCCACCCAACCCAGCATGGCCTCTTCTTAACCAATGACATCTGCAAAGACACCCTCTCCAAGGAAGGACACTCCCCAGGTGCAGTTGGTCAGAGGTCTTTCCAGGGGACACGTCTGAACCTCTTAGGGGCCCAGAATCCTGCAGGCTTGCTCCTCCCTCCCCTCCACCAGACTTTCCTGGCTTTCTGTGGGGAGAGGAGCTGGGGGGGCCCTGCCTGGACAGGCCCTGTGCAGCCGGGCAGCTCCTGAGCCCACCCTGCTCTGCTCCCACACACCTGCCCAGGCTGCGGCCCCATCTCCTTAATGCAAGCAGGTCTTGGTGCTTGGTGAAGGTTATTTTCAGCCAAGCAAAAAATATCTTTGTAAGAAGGAATTTTTAAGATCCCAAGAAAAATAATGATGGCACCCAGCAGCTGTTATTAAGTCTATTTTTGGAGAACTTCGCTGGTGCTGTTAATCCCACCTTACCTCTTGCTGCAGAAACTGACATGGACCTGCACCTGGCGGGGCTCCGGGCCTGCTGTGTCTGTGCAGGCCAAGTCGAGCCCCAGGGTCCAGCTCACTGCCCACTGCCCGCCACTCAGCAGAGGAAGGCCACTAAGTCCCAGGACAGGAGAGAGGAGTCCCACACACACCAAGACAGACGGCTGCCACAGCCCGAATGCCAGGGACAACGCCAGGCAGCTGTGTCCTGCTGGAAAGACAATCAGGGTATCCAGGTCACCTTGGCTGCCCTGTGCAGACCACAGCTAGGAGAGGCCCGAGCCTTACCAGGAGGAGAAGCCCAGGCGCTCGCTGCATCTGCTGGCCGGGCTGATTGACGGGCACCTGTCAGCCCTGGGTCAGTGCCAGCTGGGCCTTGAGGTCCCTGCCACGGCTTTCCCTCAGAATTCCCAGGAGCCCTGAGAGCTGCCACCACCTGGATGCCATCCCAGCCGCCTGGTGTGGCCTGGTGTCCAGCTCTCAAAGTTGCCAGGTGGCTCTCACTTGCACCAGGTTGAAAGGTGGGACGGGCGGTCCCCACTCTCTGGGCAGGTCCCTCTGGAAGCTTTGCCCAGACAAGGCCCCATGGGTGGACTCTCTCAAGTGCTGGCTCCCCTGACCCCGTAGTCTCGTCAGCGGCTGCCGTCCACGCAGCCAGAGGCAGGGCTGTGGCCCCCTGCTCCTGCCCTCACACCCACCAGGGCACCTGCGGGTCGGAGCATCCCACAGGAGCAGCTGCCGGCCTCCTCCAGGCCTCCTGCTGCCCGCTGCCCCGCCCCTCTATGGGGAGTCTCTCCTTGTTTTTCAGCACATGGCTAAGAAGCTAAGAAGCGTCCTTCTCAGGAAGATCTCCTGACCCTCCCAAGTGCACGCCCAGCTTCCCTACTCCTGGCCCCAGGGTCAAGGGCAGGGAGCAGGTGCCTCCTAGAGGAGCTCCCTGCGGGGCAGGGCCTCTGTGGTTATTCACCAGGTGGGGACACCTGACAGGGCTTTGGTCCCCGCAACCCAGGGGCCGCCAGAGGGGACACATGCTCTCAGGCACCAGCCCCAAGCCTTGGGCAGCTGTGTCCTGCTGGGAGGACAGGCAGGAGGGCGGCTCTCCCCTCTGCTACTCTGGCCCTGTCCCTGACCACAGGTGCCATCTGTCTGCTGTGCCTCAGGCTGTTTCCCCACACCCCAGCCTCCCAGCGGGGCCTCTTGAAGGGGCAGTGATCTATCCCATCCCTTAATCGTTGCTCCCGGAGGTCGAGATCCACAAACAAAGGCTCCTGTGCCCTGGGCTTCTTGCTGTTTGTCCTGGTTGATTTCTCTGTCTCACGGCAGAGCTGAGTCCAGGGGGTGAGAGTTGTCCCAGGAAGCTCCACACAAAGTCCTCTTCTGCCCATGGAGGCCTGGGAACTGGCTGAAAGGGGCCCGGGGACCTGGGGGGACGGGGACAGGAGCCTGCAATAGGATGGGGTGGGCAGAGGTGGAGTGCCTGCCAGCCCTTGGTCTTGCCTGCTCTCCGGGGCACTGGCTCCTGCCAGCTCCTCACTCCCCAGGTCTATGCAGAGCCTGGGGGCCTGGAGAGCGTCCGACAGCAGGTTTTAGACTGTACATCAGAGCGTCCCGCGGAGTGTAGGAGAACCCGGGAAACCCATCCCACCCTCCAGGCCTCCGGGATAAGGCCACCAGATTTATCAAATGAAGTTTCAAGAAGCCCAGCTAAATTTGCATTCCAGGTAAACAACAAATGATGTCTAGGATCCCCTGTCTCACGGATCCCCTGTCTCACGCATTATTTAAGGTAGAGTTATACTAAAAACTTAGGGTGTCCTTCTGAAATTCAGGTTGTCTGCAGAGGCCCGCTTTGTCTCTAACCACCTTTCTCTCAGGCCTCCAGCCTGTCCCCTGTGGTGGCCCTGGGAACTCCCAGGAGCTTCACGACACTGAGTACAAACCAGGGCCCTCTCTGGACTCCTCCTCGAGTGGGCAAGTGATCCCATGGGTCACACTGTCTTCCAGAGGGTCTTACAGCCAGTAGCAGCAGAGTATGATCAGGTCTCCTGACGTACCCACTGGCCGTCTGTCTGTCTACCAATATACCCATCCATCCATCCATCCCCTCACCTACCTATCCATCCATCAATCCACTGATCCATCCATCCACCAATCCACCCACTATTAATTCATCTATCAAACTATTTACTCTCCCACTCTCCCATCCATCCATCCAGCCATCCAGTCAGCCAGCCGTCTAGCCATCCATCCATCTATCCACCCATCATCTACCCATCCACTCACCTATCCATCCATCCATCCATCCATCAATCCATCAATCCATTGATCCACCCATCTACCCATCAGCCCACTATTAATTAATCTATCAAACTGTTTACTCTCCCACTCTCCCAATCATCCATCCATCCACCCATCTACCCACCCACTCACCCAGCCATCCATCCAGCCAGCCAGCCAGCCAGCCAGAGAGCAAACATTTATCCAGAACCCACCAGGCTCTGGGCCTTGTACAAGCTCCTGAGAGGACAGAAATGAACAAGGTGGGTTTAAGTCCCCCGTGGTCTTCATGACCTTCTGGGGGAGCAGATCACAGCCCAGCAAGTGTCCTGGGGTAAGTGTATGATCCAGGGGGTGTAGAGCCTGTGCAGAGGGTACAACCCCCATGTGGGGAGGGGCTGTCCCTGAAGGGGGTGCCTAGGCTGCGTCCTAAAGAGGAGAAACATCTGCTGAGAAAAGTTCTCGGGGCAGTGGACCTGCAGGTGCCTGTAGCCCCGAGAAGTGCTGAGTCGGGGTCGGTGTCTGACCTCACACGTACCCCAGTCTACACTCACACAACACTGCACAGGGCCAGGTCTCTACTGAGTACCACCGCTGTTTCTGGATCAGAGGGTTCTTTGTGGAGTCACCTCCCCGGCCTCTACCCCCAGATACAACAGAGAAACAGACAGCACTCTGCACATTGCCAAACACCTCCCGGGGAATCTCGCCTGTCGAGAACCCCGTCTTAGAGGCTGCTGCTGCGGGGCAAAGACCAAAGCAAGTGTGGGCTTCTCTTTCCAGGAGGTTCTAGAAGTTTCTTCCAGAAACTCGGGGACACTGGAGAGAGTGTGCGAGTGATTCAACAAAAATCTGTTTCAACACTGCCCGACGGGAACACAAGCCAAGGCCTGGCAGTGTGTAACTATCGCACAAAGGGTTAACCCCACGGACAAGACGGCTGCTCTTCAATGTATCTCAATCACAGATCTGTATGTGCATGTCAGCAGTCAGTGGCATATTGAATTTTTTCACACTGTTTACCTAGCATAATTTGCAGTTGGTCTGTATTTGATTAAACACCATCATCTTTTATGTACGAGTTACATAAGTAAATAGAAAAATCATTTACAGTCCGATGCCCCATGAAAAATTGATCTCTGGTCTGTCTGGCACCAACACTGGGACTCGCTGGGGCCGCGTGGCTAATTGGATGTGGGGGGATGAGGTGGCGTCTGAGGCGAGCTGGGCGCTTCATTTCCTCGGGTGGCAGCTATGAACGCGCAGAGCAAAATCTGTAGTCAGAAGTCACTCCATCAAGTGAGCTCACAGAAGTTCCCAAGTCGCCAGCTACTTATCCCACTGTGACACGTACACGTCCTTTGGGAAATCATTCCCTAGTGACAGTGAACCCGGGGGGGAGGGGGTCCGCCGCTGATTGGGGTGATCCACAGGGCTGCTGTCCTCCCCCTAGGGGGAGGGGGCGCTGCGGGGGTCTCCACCTTGGGAAGAGAGCAGGGGATGGCTTCTCAGGCCGGCAGCACCTCCATGTGGGTGGGACAATCCCTCTTGGATGGTGCGTCCCCAAGTCTGCCCACTGTCAAGCAGAGCTGGTGCCCAGAGACCCATGGCAGAGGGAACCAGCCAAAGGCCAGACCTGGTGGTGGACACAGAGACAAATTCAAGCAGGTCCTCTTTCTGGGACCTTCCAGAGTCCCAGGTTCTAGAAAGTCGGGAAGCTCGCATGGGAGCCTCCAGCACCGGAGCACAGGGCACCTTCCTCTACCTCCCTCCCCCCACCCGAGTGCCCTGGGGCTGCCATAGCCAAGTGCCACCAACTGAGTGACTTCCAACAGTAGAGGTTTATTCTCTCCCAGTCCAAGATGAGCGAGCGGCAGGGCCGTGCTCCTCCTGAGCTCAGGGGACCATCCTCCCCGCTTCCAGCTCCCGGAGGCCTCCTCGTTCAGCCTCTGTCCCATCTCGACCTGGCCTCCCCTTTTCTCACCCTCTAGTGTCCTTTATAAGGACGCTTGTCACTGGATTTAGGACCACCCGGGGGATCGGGGATGATCTCATCTTGAGACCCTTAATCACATCGGCAAAGACCAAATAAGATCCCAGAACTTGACCCCTCTCAGTCCCCTGGCCTGGGCGGACGCAAGAGGCGTGGCAGGCACTCAGACCCCAGCCCCCCTCCCCAGCCCTCTCCAGCCTGCGGTGTCGCTCCCTGCTGCAGAGTCTCGCAGGCTCCACCGGCTATTGGTCCTTGGGTCTTAGAGGATCCTGCACCGACTCCTGGCCTTTGCTCAGCAGAGAGCTCCTTGTCCCCTCCGCTAGTGCGCATTGGTGCACTCGCGGAGTCGGGCCGGCACATGAGCAGCAGGACAGCCAGGCTCCCGAGTGTCCTGTTCCTCCTCACCTGGCAGGAGGGTGCGGCCTGTGCTGGCCACACTGGGGAGTTGGGCAGGTGTAGAGCTCCTCCAGGGCAGGTGCTCCTTCCTCCCCAGAGACCCTCGAGGGAGCCTGGGCGCAGGCACAGAGAACAAGAGGGGAGCACGTGGGGCCGTGCCACCCCGAGGAGAGCCCGCAGTGCTGAGAGGCGGACACTTGGCACCTGTGGTCTCGTCCTTTATGACGTATGACTCAGTGGTTCCAAGCCAGCCCTAGGCTCCTGCCACAAGCTGCTCCAGCCTCCAGGTTGGGGGCCGTGAGCCGGTTGTGTTCTGCAGGGTCGTCAGGGTGACCGCTCCTTTGTTTTAAAAATCTGTAACAAGGAGAAGCCGTGGGAAGTGATGGTGCTGCTGACATGGGAAAAACTCTAGCAAAAGTCCAGCAAAACCTCAGGATGTGAGTGGTCTGGCCTCAAGTACTCAACCGACAGGAGCCAGGTGGACGGTGACAGTGGTCAGGACCCCCCTGTCTGATTTGGCTATTTGTGGTTTCCTGTTGTAGTTATAACAAATTGTCACAAATGTAGTGGCTTTGGGGTCAGAGGCTGACGATCACCATCGGCGGGCTGGTCTCCCTGGGTCCCTGGAGCTCCGTTTCCATCCCTCTTCCAGCTTCTGAGTCCTTGGCCTATGGTGCCTCCTTCCTCCTGCAAAGCACATCAGCCAACCTCTGCCTCCCTCGCCGACCCTCCAGCCGGTCCAGACCCTCCGCCTCCTCGTAAGAGGACCCACGTGGAACAGTGGACAGCTGGGGACAGCCCCCACCTCCATGTCCTTGACTTAATCACACCTGCTAATTCCTTTACCAAGAGAGGGGCACTCCCAGGTCTGAGAGTCACAGGCTCTGGGGACCAGGACATGGACACCCACCCCAGCCCCAGAAGCCAGCCCCCTAGCATGGGCAGACAGCACAGTTAGAAGCAGAGCTTTCTGTTCCCAGAGCCTTCCAAAGGCTCCTGTGCTGAAGAAGCCACATTCCCTACGCAGCCCACCCAGCTACCCCAGCTCTCCTGCTCCTGCTGCTGACCAGCCCCTTCAGGATGCCCCCGCTGTCCTCCCAGCTCCACCCCACTCTTCTGAAGAGTGCCCACGCAGGCCCCTCCAGTGACCCTGTCCACAGCCCCCAGGCCATCTTTATGCCAGCCAACATATGGTCTTCTTACTGCCTCCGGAGCTGACCTCCCCACTCATCTGTCCATTTTCATTATCTCTGTCCCCTCCTGCCCTTCTTAGTCCCTCCCCTCCTTCACCAAAAGGTCCCTGACCTGGCACCTACTAGGAACAGAAAAATGAGAGCAAGAAGTGCTGTCCCAGGAGCGGGCCTGTGCAGCTGGGCCAGGCCACCGGGACCCTCTGGCCTGGGTGTGGGACACCTTGTGGTCTGCCTGTGAAGGTGGCTTGGCCCTGACCCAGTGCTGCCCAGGGTGGCTCTGGCTCCGTCCACTCCCACCGCACAGCTGCACAGAGGAGGGAACTCCAGTGAGCTGAAACCGCGGACTGGCCTTAATGGACTAAGTGGACCAGCCTTAGTCCACGGCAGCCTGAGGGGCCTCGCCCCCCCACCCCAGGCAGGGTGCCAACATTATCAGCTCCGTGTTCTCCTTCAAATTTAATGCAACAAAGCTATGAGACAGCGCCCAGTGAGGACCCCTGGCTCCCCCCAGTGCTGTCCACCCAGCTGAGTGCCCTGCGCTGAGGAAGGGTGGGCCTCAGGTCAGGCTCATCCTCCTGGAGAGTCGCCACCCTATGGCAGCTGAGGACACCTGGCTTTGCCGACACTGACCGCCTTCCAGCCCTGGGTGTCTGTTGAGTGATTCCAGCGTCAGCAGCCCCACAGCGTGGACTTTGGTTCCTGGCCCACAGTGGCCTGGGGTGTCAGTGGTGTGACCTCACACCTGCAAGCTGGGCCACCCTGGGGGCTGGAATGCTTAGGCCAGGTTTGGCTCAAAGCCAGGGTTCACCCCGTCCTGAGGACTCCTTCCAAAGCAGGGGCTGGACATTCTGCTGCCCCCTCCCAGCAAGGACAGGCCAGTTCGTTTAGCGGATGCTCCTTGGCCCAGATCTCATCGTACAACTCAGCAGAGTTCAATCCAGGGACGGGGTAGTATCTCTCGCTGCCCGTGGCCAGGGCCATTGGGAAATTCTGGGATTCCAAGGGAAACGGGCCACCCCCTCGGTGCCACTGTTGTCGAGTCCTGTCGGGGTGCTCCCCGAGGGCAGCTCCACCGGCGGCAGGCCTACAGTGTGCACGTGGGACCCACTCTGCGGTGGCATGGCCAGCCGGGCAGCAGACCTGGCGAGCTGATCCTCCTGTTTGTTCAGCACTAACTCCAGGCTCAGCCGGGTTCCGGCTCAGGCGCAGAGAGGCCTGGGCAGCGCTCCTGTGCGTTCATGTCTGACTGCCCTGGTCCGCCCCTTGCTTGGGAACGTCAGCCACGGGACAGCAGGGGCCCTGCCTCTGTGGGGGCCTGGGAAGCTTCTGTCGTACACGGGTGAGAGGCCGATCCTTGAGCTTCCTGAGGGTCAAGGCTGTTTGGTGACCGCATTCCCTGGACGCCAGGACACGGCAAGGGGGAGGGAGGGGGTGGGGAGGAAGGGTCTGTCCAGGCCTGTCACATCCGCCCGAGGTGCACCCTAAGGAGCCCCTGTAGCCTCACACAGGACACCTGGGCCTTGACGCCGTGGGCCCACCTGGCTCCTGAGGGCTTCTCCCAAGCCACATTGCGAGCCCTGGAGAGGTCTTGGTTTAGAGCTGGGCTCAGCAGTTGGCCTGCCTGGCCTCTGGACCAATCCCCACTGTCCACTGGACCTTGCTAAGTCCTGAGCCTCTGGGGCTCTGTCAGCCGAGGACCTTAGTGCCGCAGTCTGGCTGGGCACAAGTCACGAGCCACTCAAGCAGAAAAAAACTTTATTTCCGAACTCCCGCGAACGCCACCCACGCGCGGCCCTTCCAGGAACACAACACACCCACCGGAACTCCCTCCCCCAGAACTTCCTTTGCCCTCCACCGGGCTCCAGGCTCCACGAGAACTCTAGGGAACTCAATGGGGTGCAGCAGGAGCCGCCCTATTGCCGGACAGCAGGGATCCAGATACAATTGAAGACACAGCCTGTTTCAATCCAGCATCATCCAGTCACAGCAATCATACACAGCTTAATTATCATCATCTCAGCCATGACTTCTGGTAAAATGCCAGGGGCCATTCAGACTGGCTGTGGCTCTCCACACCTTAGAACCCCCAGGTGGCTGTGAGGGTGAAGACCAGCCCTGCTCCTCGTCCTCTCTCAACATCCCCGCCCACACAGCAGGACCAGAAGCAGGCCCATCTCGGATGCTCCTGCAGGCCGTGGACAGAGGAAGGTCTCCCCAGAGTTGAGTGCATGCTCCCTGTGGATGCCACCTGTAGACCTCGGTCCCCAGCGTGGACTCGCAGCCCCGCTGGCCCAGCCCTTCCCCTGGCTACATCCTTCATCCCCACTTCTGGGTGTGAGTGCTCAGGACCTCGGCAGGCAACAGCTGGCCTGTCTTACTGATGCAGAGCCAAGCCATCGGCGAAGGAGCTGGGCAGACAGACCTTCCCCAGGGACCAGGGGCTGGCTAAAGATTTAGGTTTTCCTAAAGCCAGGCTGCATAGACAAGGTGGA